CGCAGTCTGCGATCTTCTGCTGTGTCAAATCCACTGCTAGCATGCCTAGGGCTGATTTCTGTATTTGTCATTGGGGCTGTTTCCATCTGATCCTGAGTTGGATTAACATCCTCCTCCACAAATGTCTCTCTCTCAAGTTCTGCATCAAATGTGCGGAGTAGAAGGAACATATCTTGACGGCTAGCCTCTGGTGCCACAGCAATGCATCTCTCCTGGCACAATGCTAGCAGCTCCTCCCTGTTCATTCTCCGGTAGTTGATAGGCATTCTGCTACTAAACTCCTAACTGTAAGCCAATATAATAAATAACAGGGAGGGACCTGCAACTGTATATATATATATGTATATATGCAATATGTGCTGTACTCTTCTGCCTTGAGATCCAGTTAACAATACTAGATCCACTCAGTGTAAAGAAACCCAAAAGTTATCCAAACACTGAGGCTGATGAATCCCACCGTTAACTGTCACCAGTCTGTGACAAAACTGGGGGTTAATTCCATCCACCAGGTGTACTAAGTGGGCAAGAGTAAAAAGAAAACTATAAAAATACTAATACTCCCAGGCTAATCCAAAGAGGCCTACTCTAGCTTCACCTCTGCAATAGGCACAACTCAAAACCAGCCTGAATGCACCCAGGTCCTCTGACCCCACGGATGGTGCTTCACTGGATCTCCCTGAGTTGCCCCAAAACTTTAGAAAGTGCCACAGCGCTTGGGTAACATGTGACCACCTGGTGATTAATATGCCCACTCACCTACACCCCAAATCCTATCTGTCTGGGCCCACTGAGCACCTATAAACCTGTAGGTCTCAGAGGTACCAGACAGCCCAGGGCCCCACTACAAATTAACAATATAAGCAAAGTTACTATGCAAACCCCAAAAAGGATAAAAATGTAGGTACTTTTCATCAGCCAAGCCAGTTGAGTCATTAATTGGAATTTAATAGGAGAAGTTCACAGCACACAATATTTACAAATAGCAATGTATATAATACACGTACAGCACAGTAAAGAAAAGGTGAAAATGTTCAAAAATATGACCACTTACGTCCCTATTATAAGAAACTGTAAATGGCCTCCGAGGAAGAAGAGGTTTAGCTTAATCCTGGTTTCGGAGATCCAGGGAGTCCTTGCACAACTTGTTGACTGGGTTGCTTCCTCTGCATAGACTAACTTGGGCGAGGCTGTGCAAGGGTTTTCCCAAAAGCAGGGGCACATTCCTAAGGATAATTGACAAGTCCCAGAGCCACTCAGATGGGGCTACACTAGGCTATCAGGACCATTTGGCCCATCAGCCAATCACCTTCACTGCCTGAAGTTGAGCCAAAACCCACATGGTCCTCAGAAAACAGGAAAAATGGCTCCCTGTGGATATACATAAAAATCCTATGTGGGGGAATGGGACACAGGGAGAGACAGGGGTCTGCTTGCAGCAAAGGACCATAAAACAGCAGGAGGTAATAAACCTGCACAGACCCTGCAATGTCTAACCCCCCTTAAAACACATACAAAAGAAATATAAATTGTCACACTGCTCCATACCCATTATTTGTTTTATATCCTGTGTTCTGTATACCCAATTCATTATTTGTGTCCTACTAAACCCTGTCAAGTTATTGTGCACCATGTACATGCAATTTAAAATATTTTCTATAGTATATATTCCCATTTCAGTCTATTCAGACATATACACTCAAGGTAAGCAATGTACAGCTACAGACATTTACAGGAAGCTGCGTCTCTAATGGGCACTGTCTGGTTTTATTAACCCATATTCTCTTATTCAGGTTTGAATGTATATTCATGATAAGCCCTGGCATTTTAAGTACAAAAATCCAAAACAGCTGCGCACAGGCCTGACAAATTTGACTATCTATGGCTTCTTACAGAATCCTTGCTTAAATTTTCCAAAAACTGCCAGCCCAGGCCTTTCACTGTTCACGTGTTCACATGTCATAGTGATCCCTGTCTGTCTATTGTACCTGATTCACTATTATTTACTATGCATTCTGTGTTCTCTGCATGGGATTTTGGAGAGCCTCTCCAGCCTCTCGAGGGTAGACCCACACACAAGAAGGATATGCTCAGTGGGAAAAACAGGGGAGCAAGACTCAGCCGTGGGAATCTATTTGCAACACATTGCCTCCCTGAGCTGAAGGTCTGGGGCTTGAGCCCTATTCATCACTGCACTCAACATTGATCATCTTTTTACAAGTTTATTGGCATTTTCCACTTCTCTCCCCAATTGGACTAAGGCTCTTGGGAACAAGGGCCTTTCTCCTTCCCCTCATGGCAGATCCGGACTGAGAATTAAAATAGGCCCTAGCATTTCAGGTACACAGAGGCCCAATCAGCCCACATAGAGGCCCTATCTGCCCCCACCAACCCACTAAATACTGACTTTCTATGGGACCTTATAGCAGCCTCTCTGGCATTTGGCAGAACCCACAGATTGCCAGTCCGGGCCTGCCTCATGGTAACGCTTCTGCCTGATCACCAGGCATCCTGCAGAAGGTTTTGGCAGAGCAAGGTTTATATTGCTGAGCTGCTTGGGACCTTTTACCCTGTTTCTTGTCTGCACACACCTAAAAAATGTAGCATAGGGAGCTGGGAAGAAGGGCCTAGACCCATTACTGCCTCAAATCTCTCCTGAGGTCCTGGAGCTATTGTTGGGTCAGATTATGCAGATTAGCTTTCATCCAGACTTCTAGGCAGGGGCCCTGTCTGCTGGAGTCCCCAAGCTTCCTATATAAGTAAATTAAAAACTTAAGGCTTTTTCTGGGATTTGCTACAATAAAACTTTTTTACTACATCAAATTATGGAGTGTGGTGTGGTATGTGCCAGCCCT